GCACCACGTACATATAGACGAGTTGTCCCACACTGTAAATAGTTTATTAACACATATGTAGATGGTACACAAACAAAAGCTATCTTTAAGCAAATTTACCTGTTAATTTGGCAAAAACATGCAAGATGATAACGGAGAAAATAAATCCAACGGCCAAAAACAAGACAACCAATGGATCAACACGTAAACCTTGAGCTTCATCAGTAAATAACTTCATCATTGTGGACGAGCTTCCACCAGCACCGGCAGACCTAGTACTCAATGGGGTAGCATTGGATGTCTGTGCTTTCTTGTCAGCTGTTGACTTTCTCTTTACAGCACTTCTCAAACCACCTGGGGCTTGATTTGATGAGGATGATGACTAATATGTTAGTATTGGTTGTTAAAAATAACGCATCATGTGCAAACATACCATTGATGGATGAAACTTTGTTGTTCGTATTCTACACGTAATCAATTTCCAATGATAATTTTTCGTTGTCTTTCAGTGTTTCTTTCTTCCACGCGTGTAACGCTACCAGGAATAACAAATTTTCAAAAGTTCTTTCCGATTCAACGAAAATAAAACCGAGAGTCTTTTAACTCTGGGGCACCCACACACCATGGATTTTAGAAACTTATCTGCTAATCAAATGGACAACATAGTACAGCGTCGTCCTTCCTTGTCATCCCTATCATCTGCCTCGGGATACTCCTCATCCTCGACGCCTTTCAATACAAAGAGCTATACTCCAAGTAACCTCATGAGTAAAGACTTGCAAAGTTCTTGGCTTAATCAACCGAGTTCCACCTCAATAGGCCCCTGGGTGGAACAACAACAACAGCAAACACTTGACGCTTTGGATAAGACGACTTTGGATAAACCAATTAATGATGAGACGAAACCTAATGATAATGAACCTCACGAAACCCACGACAATATCGACGACGACGAACTTATCCCCACTGCAATCGTTATTAAAAATATTCCATTTGCTATTAAGAAAGAGCAGTTGTTGGAAGTTATGACCAAACTAAATTTGCCCTTACCATATGCTTTCAACTACCATTTTGATAATGGGGTGTTTAGAGGCTTAGCGTTTGCCAATTTCACGTCCACAGATGAAACATCCCTTGTGGTGAACCAATTAAATGGGAGAGAAATAGGAGGTAGGAAGTTGAGAGTTGAATATAAAAAGATGCTACCAGCGCAAGAAAGAGAACGTATTGAGCGTGAAAAGAGAGAAAAGAGAGGTCAATTGGAAGAACAACATAGATCAACGTCCAATGCTTCCTTAGCGTCTTTGCTATCGCAAGCCTCCACAACTGCGGCAACCAAAAACCTCAGCGTGGCTGGAACTTCGACCTCACAAGAACGTATTTTTTTGAATTTGCCATTTGGTTGTTCACTGTTTAGTCCACCTGAGCTTAATTTTAATGATCCCGAAATTTTAGAGCTATACACACAATTGGTGCTTTACCGCGATGATGCATCCAAGACGGTGTTTGAATTGGCAATCTCGCCATTAAATTTAAACATTGCTCAAAGAAAGATTATATCATACGTTTGCAACTATCTAAATTTATTAGAATTGTTTGATAATGGCATGATTATAATTAGAAGAAAGCCCGGCCACATTTCAATTGCGCCTGGACAGACACGTCAGCAGCCACTTCATTCTGCCTCCATGATGAATCTCAACCAGTTGGCAAATCCTCCTGAGTTGTTACGATCACACTCGCAATCCGCGATACCGATGCCGAGGTTGAGACAACAAGCGTCCACTCCAACTCAGCAGCAGCCTCAAATTGTCTATCAACAGAGGCCATACACCCAACATGGGTATTACCAGCAATCACAGCAGCCACCACAATTGGCACAAAGTTTATCAGCAGGCAGTTCAGCTGCTGCATTGTTAAGGACGAATAATAACAGGTCATACGTCGATGTGAGGTCTACTCCACCATTAAACCAGCAAGAAAGCCATCCAATGTCGCAACAACAGCACCAATTCTTCCAACCAAACCCTGCTACTACTACAACAACCACTAATACCAATGCCGCTGCTACGAACACAAATAATGCTCCCTCACAACCTCAGACACCATCCAGTGGTTCTATCTGGGGCCCAAGATTTATATAGAGTCATAGTTAAGAAATATGTCAACAAATACCAAAAATATTATTAAGCTATTTCTATTTAAATCTCTCCAACAACGACTGGGCAGAGGCAGTATCTAAATAAACAACTCCGTTTTCAGTCGTAACGGCATTTCCTGATAATAACTGCTCCAAGGAAATAGTAGCGCCAGTTTCTGGTTCCTCTTCCTCGCCACCATCTTCAATCCGTCCACACCTCGGGTGTTCAGGTTTTAAAAAGGAGTCTCCGAAATCTTTGTCGCCTATTTTCTCGATAATCCTCTTTTTCCAGCCCTCGATACCTTCATCGTTGCGTAAAAGAGCCACTATGACAATGGACATATTATCACATCCTATACCGGAACCATCAGAAGTGGGTGAGCAACAAAGATCCATAATCTCCTCACAAATTTTCTCAAGGGTTTTCTCCTCGCGAATTGCTCTCCTTATAAAATCGATAACCTGTTGTGGGTGCATACAGTCCCAAATACCATCGCAAGCTAAAACAACAAATTCGTCCTGTTCCAAGTTTATTTGGTGGGTGATAACATCGGGATAACACGTGACAACTTGTTCTTCTGGAGGAAGGTCGACTGACTTTTTGAACTCAAAATCTGCAATGGATCGCGAAAGAGCTAAATTTCCATTGACTCTGTCTGCATCAACGTAACCTCCAGCAGCCATTATACGAGACTTTTCACCCTCCAAGGATGGTTTGTGGTCAAACGATAGGGCCTTAGCTACACCATCAATCGACATAATTGTACGCGAGTCTCCAGCATTACCACAATAGATACTTTTAGGTGTGATAAGTACGGTGGTAGCAGCACATCCACTGTCGTCATCACGCATGTATAGATCCTTCAATATTGCTTGGTCACAGTCTAAAAATCCTTGTTTCAATGCGTTGGTATAGTCTTTCCCTTGGTATTGTGATGTACTTCTAATCAATTTGTGTAAATGCTCGCCAGTGAATATAGCAGCCTTTTCTCCACCATGACCATCGTAGACACCAAAAAACGCGACATAATCAGCATTCTCCTTTTCCGCCTCATTGGCATCAGTTTTGACTCCATCAGTTTTGGCCGCCTCAGTTTTATCCTTTTCATCATGATCCCCCTCATCATTGTCTTCCTCACCCTTGTTGGTCTCATCATCAACAAATTTATTCAAGTCTAAAACTGTGGCATGGGCATCTTCCATATTGATTCTCCACCCTTGCATACTTGACAAACCATATGCCAAATATTTGTCTTGACCCTCTTCTGAGTGTTTCTCAGTAATTGGTTGTGATAGAATTTGTCCCATAGTGGATGGAATGAGACTAGGGTCGTTTAAATTGTGATTAGGTTAAAAAAAAGTAGAATTCGCTAGCTGCGATTGTAATATAATTTCTTAATCAGTTACTGGTGGGCGGAAACTTTGTCTCTCTGGTGTTCACAGTTTTTTTGTTGGTTGTTGTTTATAGAAAGGCGAAATTTTTCTGTCTGATGAATTTCTTTTTTTTTTCTTTTAACAAAAAATGATTCTTTTTTTTTATTTCTTCCGACTCTTAGCGCTTCTTCATCTCGTGAACTTTTCAAAACCTTTAAGGCGTGATAAGTACTAAACAGTTGTCCTCTATTACAACTCAATTTTTATACGAGATTTGTAGAATTTCGTAGAGTCAGTGAAAGGTGAGTCAGTTAACTAGACCAGTTTTAAGCAGATGGTTGTGCTAGGAAGCCACCTTAGGCAATGCCCTTTTGGGTCCATTTCGCAAGTCACGTGCTGCTTTAAAGCTCTTTTGTGGTACAACAAGCTAGTCTCTACGACTCATATAAACATTTAGGTCAGTTCATTAACTATACATTTTACTTCTGGAAATAGATGTGATATTTCACTGCCTTGTGAGGCCGATAACATGTCGCAACAAATACTCGTGTAGTTGTGATGCAGCTATCGCTTGCCAATATTGAAAAAGCTTCTCAACTTGTTTATCAAAATATCATCATCGTAATTATTGACCACAACCTTGCCATCTTTAACAACACCCTTTTCATGATCGTGATCTATTTCTAAAGATTGCACCGAATCCAATCTATGGTCTCTCAATAAGAACGTAATTAAAATCAATGGGAAACAAAGTACTAGCCCCGCAATACAAAGGTACCTCTGCACTTGCGCGTAAGCGGTAACCACAGCTATTCTAGCCGGTGAGCCCCATGTATTTTCAATAATGAATTCAAAGGGTGAGTTGTAAGCTGACAGTGCTAGCTCTGTAGCATTGGCAATGTTCATCTCTTGCATTTTATCCAAAATGACCACATGCATTCTGTTTGTCCAGATGGCTCCACTGATCGATGTACCCAATGAAGAGCCGATCCAATAACTTGCCAAATACACAGAAATTATGACACTCATGTACTCGTGGTTGGTTACTGTACTGATACTAACTTGGGTTGAGTAAGTGAAGAATCCTGCTCCAAAGCCCATCAAACATAACCCTCCAATGACACCGTCAAGATACTTTTGACTTTCAACACCGTCATTAGCACCACGGAAGTGAAACAAAATCCCCAAACTCACAGCCCAGCAGATACATCCAAAAATGATGAATCCTTTCAATCTTCTAACACGAACCACGACTAACCCCAAAATCGGCCCAACAATGACAGAGACAAATGAATATAAAGATGTTATTCTGGTTGCTGCCTTGACACTAGCATTCATACCAACAATGAGCACTGTGTACATGAAATCATTAGGCATGTACCAAATCCAATTGATAAAGATGGCAATCAACAAAGCTGCCCAGACCCCACGATCTTTCATCAATGGCAACGGCATGATTGGCGACCGTGCAAACTTTGCTTCCCATACAACGAAAATTGGAATAAACACAACACCAATAACTAAGGGGACAATTGTTGAGGCTCTTGCCCATTTCGAGCTGACGCCTCCAGCAAGTGTGAATGGTACCAAAATAAATCCTAAAATGATAATAACATGCAACAATCCAATAACATCCAAGTCCCAAAACAAATCCACTACTAATGCTTTCCAATAGGTGAGACTAGTCTTTGAGTGCTTTCTCTGGCTCTCATGCTCTCTTCTCAAAACTTGCCATTCTGGTGTCTTTCTGGCCTTGACATGCATATGTATAAAACAACAAAGTAAAGGAACAAAGCTGAGAGGGAAAATAAAGGCCCACATACCGATACCCCAGTTCCAAGAGTAATGGGCTAAAACTGATGAGACAACATCACCACTAACCCAAGTATTGATAATAAATGGCAACGCAGGAATGAAAGAACAAAGTAAACGCCAATTTAAATTTGAAAAATCAGCCAAAATAATTTGCAACATAATAACAATACCAGTGTATCCAATCTGGTAAATGACTGAGCCGCCTGCAAACCTATTGATATCGTAAGCTTGCGATTGGATGACTGTTCCCGTTGAATAAAACACTATCGCGAACAAGCACAATTCTAAACGACCAAACTTATCAGATAATCTTGCGTAAAATGGTTGAGCAGCTGCACTAATGACGGATTGCATAACGTTCACCGTTGTGAATAATGAATGTTGCAGGTATGATGAGGTAGCATAATATTGCAAATTACCACGGACAGTTGAGTCCAATCCATACCCATATGCAACCAAGAAGATGCAAAAAAAGAGCACTACTCTCAAAATGGGATTTTGATACTGCAATTGTAATAACTCAGCTCGCCTGATACCAATTGACTTGGTGGTTGTGTTTAATGCTTCCTTTTCCACATTGGATTGCGTTGTTATTTCACCCTCATCTCCAGAATAAGCCTTGCTATCCTTTTCAGTTTCTTCGTAACTCTCGACCTTCGTGGGCTCTGTGCGATCCATGTATGCTATATGAGTTGCTAGCTGCTTCTTTGTTCTCATATTTTCTGTCTTGGGTACTTTTAGGGGAAAGTCATCTCTTTATATACATGATAACCTGTACTGCTTTGTACTTTCATTATATTACCAAATGTATTCCAGCGTTAACGGATGCTTTTTGCATCGTGTAGGCTATATAACAATAATGCCGTATTGTTATCCTACATTATCGTGAGTGATTTCAAAAACAAGAAAAAAAAGGATAAAGGAAAACCCCGTAATGGATCAACTCGAACCAATCATCGAACCTATAATCCTTGCCCTTTAGGTTTGTACATCCTTCATCTGTGAGTTTTGCAGTATGACTTTTTTCTTGGTAAAAGCTTAAGGTATTAATCCCTTTCAAGAGTCTTCATTTCGAAATGACAAGAAAAATTTCATTTTGAAAAAACGTATGCTAACTAAATGTATGTCAAAAGCCTCTTTTCTCAGTTTTGTTATCTTTTTCATCTAGACGCCCTTCCAAAAGGAAATATGATGCTAGTCAAGAACTAAACAATTTATCAGACAGCACCTTGGCTCCACTCCTACTGAATCACATATCAGTAACTATGATTGGTAAAACCTTATCTAATTTACCTTGACTGCAACAACAAATAGACTACAATTTATTTGAATCGTATTTAGCCACTTTGTGAATCTAGCTTGGCTCGTATTTCAAACCCAATGTATCTAAAGTAAAATGAAAGTGAGAAATTATTTTCTGCTTAAAGAGACAAATTAAATGAGCTGGCCATAATCCTGAAAAGGTGCTATTGTTCTTAAAACTAAGTTTATGAAATATTTCTTGTCTTTGGTTAGTCAAACCAATCCTATTGTTTTCGTGTGACTCTGTGTCGTTTGGACGTAATTGGTTACAAAATGGGCATAAGACAAGAAATTTTTGCAATGAATAATAAATTATGAATTAATGGGTCCTCCATTTGCAAGGAACAATAGTTTTTATTCTTCCTGCCTTGCATAGCAAACCAGTTCCGCCTATATAGACCGAAGTCGGATACAGGTTTATTTGTAACCGCTTTTTTTTTTTTCTTTTTACATGTATTATTTTTTGGTTCATTGTATGCCTACTATGTGAGAGAAATTTTGCAAAGAAACTTCAAACTCTCCTAGACTCAACATTAAGGTAAATATTTTATCACAAAGGTGCTCTTCGTATATGTAGTTGCTTTGGTTTTAGCCCTTCAAAAACCGTTCCATTGAATATAATTATGGCCAATTTTGTGGCGGTGTGTTTTGTAACTATATTCCTGATTTGACCTCACCTGTTTAAAAATTGGTATTTCCGCAATCTACTACTACACCAAATTTGAGCCTACAATCTAAATTACATTTCTTTCGTCTATTACGTACACAAATATACTATACTGGCTTACCGCCAATAAATTCACTCCATCTTTGAACTTCTTCCGGAACAATAACACTTTCAGGGACTTCATCAAACTTGCTCTTATTTCCAATTTTGGCCCTCAAACAAGAAGCAAATAATTGTGATGTGTTTGGTTCATTAAACAATGGAATGGCGAAATCAATGGCGTTTCTTCTCATTACATAATCTTCATCTAACAAGTCCTCCGCTCTAGATTTGGCCAAATTAAATACACCGCCAATGTTTTTGTCTTGGAAAATTTCACGCAAAGCACGTTTGTCAGTTTTTGGGAAATCAATGACTCCAACAGATTCGGAAATATATTTAGATAGGTAATCAGCTGCTGATTGATTAGCTGTGTAAAAGTTGTATCCCAATCCTGACAACTCCTTGGCAACATTTCCGAGCTTGTCGTTGGACAAATCCCCGCCAAACAATATACCTTGTCCAGGCAAGGGTACATGGAAGTTCATCGTTGATTGCATACTAGTCCAGTAAGCTTCGAGCAAGTCCCTACCAAAACATGCAACCTCACCAGTAGATGCCATTTCAACACCTAAGAATGGATCTGCCCCGGCTAATCTGGTGAATGAGAATTGGGGCACCTTGGTTGCAACACGATCATACTTTTGTTCCATAAGGTTGACTGGTTTTGGTACACCTTCTTTTATAAGAGCTTTAACAGCAACATCAATAAAGTTAATACCAAGGACCTTGGAAACAAATGGGAAAGAACGGGATGCACGAATATTACACTCAATAACCTTTAGCTGGCAAGTCTCGTCATTGAGCGTTCCATTTTGATCGTTCTTGATAATTTGCATATTGAATGGTCCTGTAATCTTCCATGCTTCGGCAACTTTATCAGCAATAGTTTTCAAACGGTTCAACAAGACAGGTGACAAGTTTTGTGGTGGCAAAACTAAAGTTGCATCTCCAGAGTGAACACCTGCGTTTTCAACGTGCTCGGAAACTGCATGAACCAAGACCTCACCTTCATTTGCTACGGCATCAATGTCAATTTCTTGTGCTCCTTCAATAAATTTAGATATAACAACAGGATGGTCCCTTGACACCTTCGAAGCATTGGACAATTTTGCATCCAACTCATTTTTACTGTTGATGACCGACATGGCAGCTCCAGACAAAACATAGGACGGACGAACAAGGACAGGGTATCCTACTTCATCAGCAAAGCTTTCGGCCTCTTCAATCGAAGTCAATTCTTTCCATGCTGGTTGATCAACTCCAATAGAATCAAGAATTTGGGAGAACTTGTGACGATCTTCAGCCTTGTCAATGTCTTCTGGATTAGTTCCGAGAACATTGCAACCAGTATTTTGTAATGTCAAAGCAATATTTTGAGGTAATTGACCACCGACTGATACTACAACACCTGCAGAATGCTCCAATTCGTAGATGTCCAATACTCTTTCCAACGACAACTCTTCAAAGTATAATCTGTCAACTTCGTCAAAATCAGTAGACACAGTTTCCGGATTATAGTTGATCATGATTGTCTTTTTACCACTTTCTCTCAAGGCACGGGCAGTAGATACTGCACACCAATCGAATTCAACAGAGGAACCAATTCTGTACACACCAGAGCCCAAAACCAATGTTCCTTTATCATTGAAATCGATATCTGAGCTAGTAGCATTATAGGTAGTGTACAAGTAGTTTGTATTTGCAGGAAATTCGGCAGCCAATGTATCAATCTTTTTCACAAATGGAATAATGCCAAACTCCTTCCTTACTCTTCTAACATCTAACTCCTGGGCACCAACACAAAGACCGATCTGTTTATCCGAAAATCCTAACTTCTTAGCACGACGCATTAAGTCACTATTAATATTGGACAATTCGCCTGCAGACTCCAATTCACGATACATATTGACAATGTTCATCAATTTATACAAGAACCATTTGTCAATCTTGGTCAAATCATGGACCTTATCAACCGAGTAGTTCTCATGCAACAAAGCTTGTCCAACAGCTAACCACCTTCTATCGGTAGGATTTTGCAAAGTTTCATCTAAATTCTCAAAATGGTCTCCTTGGAAACCGATGTAGGAAGGATCGATTTGTCTAATTGCTTTTTGGAAAGACTCTTCAAAGTTTCTACCAATGGCCATGACCTCTCCCACTGACTTCATTGCCGATCCAATGTCACGTTTAACATGTTGAAACTTGGACAAGTCCCAACGTGGGATCTTGGTGACGATGTAATCCAAAGAAGGTTCGAAATTAGCAGACGTGGTTTTGGTTACAGGGTTTGGCAACTCGGGTAAGGTGTGGCCTAGGGCGATCTTAGCAGCTGTGTAAGCCAATGGATAACCAGTAGCTTTCGATGCCAATGCTGAAGAACGTGATAAACGAGCATTCACTTCAATAACTCTAAAGTCCAAGCCATCGGGTTGTAACGCATACTGAACATTACATTCACCAACAACACCCAAGTGTCTAATAATCTTGATCGCGGCAGTTCTCAACATGTGGTATTCTTCATCACTCAAAGTTTGTGATGGGGCGACAACTATGGAATCACCAGTGTGAATACCCAATGGATCGAAATTCTCCATATTACAAACAGTGATACAATTTCCAACACGGTCACGAACAACTTCATATTCCACTTCTTTCCAGCCTTTCAACGACTTTTCGACCAAAATTTGTGGAGCCAAGGAAAGCGACTGTGCTGCTAAATTTCTCAATTCGTCTTTATTAGCGGCAAACCCAGAACCGAGGCCACCTAATGAGTAAGCTGATCTAACAATAATTGGGTATCCAACAGTATCAGCTGCTTTTAAAGCATCATCAACTGTCTCGACGGCAATAGATTCAGCAATTGGTATGTCTATTTCCTTCAATGCTTGAGCGAATAAATCACGGTCCTCGGAGGTTTCCAATGTCTTTATGGGTGTACCCAAAACCTTGACGCCATACCTATCGAAAACACCCATCTTGTCCAACTTAACCCCCACGTTCAATCCAGTTTGACCACCGAAAGTTAACAAAATACCGTCGGGCCTTTCTCTTTCAATAATGTATGTTATATATTCAGGAGTGACTGGTAGGTAGTAAATTTCATCAGCTAATGCATGAGAAGTCTGATTCGTAGCGATATTTGGATTTATTAGAATAGATTGTTTGTTAGCCTCCTTCAATGCTTTAATGGCTTGAGACCCAGAATAGTCAAACTCACCAGCTTGGCCAATGGATAAACCACCGGATCCAATAACAAGCACTTTCGATACATCAACTAGCTTGTGTGCATGTTCATCTTTAAATTTCTTCAACAAGTCACCACCGGCGTATTTCAATGCCTCTTCATTTATCGAGGGGATTGTCTTATTTTCGTACGCAGTAGTGTCAGCGCTTGTGGCGAACTTGAACTTTTGTAGCGTTATAGATGCCCTCGGTAAAAGCTTGAGTTTGGTTGATAACAGCTTGAAATTGTTTCTCAACAACATGTTCGAGTGATTTAAAAAGAATTGGTTGCTGAGATTGCCGATGACCTTGATGAAAGAAAAAGGAAAAGGAAAAGGAAAAGAAAAAGGAAAGGGAAAAAGAGTATGAAACTTATAATAGAAAAATTTTTCATAATGAGTCAACAGAGATTTATAGGACAAAAAATTTTTCTTTTGGGTATGAAAAATTAGCCGCGATGTAAAATCAATTTAAATTAGAGAAAGATAAAATGTTGAGAATAGGTACACTACCTTCTTAGGCTATTCCCCCAGAAATATCTAGACAGTGTAGATTTCCAATTGTTAAAAAAAAAAGAACTATAGTCATCCCTTGAATATTGTAATAATTAATACATATACCTGACGCAAGCTCCAATGTGATTAAAGTGTATAGCTCTGTTCCGTACAAACCCATCCGGCAACCTCTTCTAAACAAAAGGTGATGTCACCGTGTCACAAAACAACTAAGCGGCTACCAATTTTGATCAACATATATGCCTCTGCAGTGTCACGAAGATCAGGAATACTGCAAATCAACCCCTAAGCTTCAAACCATCAGCAGCAAAACTATCTGTCAATAGTAGGTTTCTACGCAAAGTAGGATTAACGATGTCCATGCTTATATATCTACATATGTGTTAATAAACTATTTACAGTGTGGGACAACTCGTCTATATGTACGTGGTGC